AGTTGAAATACAAGTATTCCATCTCATTGTTCATAGCTTGAGCAACACTTGATCAACAACATCTTCTAGTACATTATCGTAACTAGTAGGATCAATGTCACTCAACAAGAGACGACTTAAGAGTTAACAAGATTCTCTCCCGCTACGAATGTGCTGCACTAGTCCTTGTGTATTTATAGGTAAAACAAAGAGTGGGTCAAATGGTGGATCTTCAAATTCTTGAGGATCCAATTATTCTTGATATTGTTCCTCCACATGTGATACTAATATTTCTACTAGTTTCACTTATATATTATCATGTTGAATTTCCAATTACGGTTCCCTTGTTTGTTCACCTAGAGATATATTTATCCCCTATTGAACAATCAAATGAACGGATGAAGCTTCTAAAGATTCTGCAAATTCTTGTTCAGAGATAAATCTCATCAAGAATAACTTACTTAAGAGCTTATAATTTCTCATCTAGTCCTTCTTTAAGAAAATCATGTGAGTGCTCACTTAGATTATCTTGTCCTTAAGACTAAATAAGAAATCATCCCTCGTTCTCTTAGGGTAGCCAAAAGATATGCACTCTTCTATACAAGATTCCATCTTATTTGACTGTTGTTGTAGGACGTATGCTGTAGCACCCTAAATCCGAATATGGTTTGATCTGGGCTTGCACCCTCTCCATAATTTCTTAGGTGTCTTTACAACAAACTTTGATGGAACCAAGTTAAGAAGGTACATTTCCTTCTCTAGGCATCTCCCTTGAACAACATTGGCAAAGATGAATAACTGAACATGATCTTCACCAAGTCTAGATATGTTTGATTTTTGCATACTGCAACTTCATTCAACTAACGCGTTCCTAGAGTTGACAGTTACGAAAACTATCCCCTCTTAAATCAGGTAAGACCTGAACTTGCCAGACAGGTAGCCAACACTTTAGTCAGACCAAAGTATTTTGATTTGAACACCTAGATGTTTTTCTTCCTCAGACTTAAACCTCTTGGAATTTTCCAAAAGTTTTAGACTTATGGCGCACTAGGTTCATCTGTGCAAATCCAGAGTAAAAATTCATATAATAAAGTACTCATCACCTCTTCTGGCTTGAACGCTAATTGGTCCACATACATTAGCATGTACCAGTTCCAGTTGAATAGTTGCGCAAATATTTTTGGCCTTGTAGGATTGCTTGGCCATTTTACCTTCCAAATAGGACCAACATGTAGCTTTTAGTTAAAATATTCTTGAACTTTCAGTCCTTCTTTTAACTAAACCATGTTTCCTATTTGAGGTAATCTGACTCAATCATAAAATCCAAAAGTATGTTTCATTTGAAACTTTAATTTCTTTGGTGAAGGTTCTTGTTCATCATCCTTTCCATTCAACACAATAAATTTAGGGGTATAGGACAAAGGTAATAAAGACTATTTGAACAATGTACCGAAACAAACAAGACGAAGATGAACTCCGAAATGTAACTGAGGAATCAATTGCATTGTCAAACCATGTTTTAACCAAAATAACTAACAATAATTGAATTCCTCTTGAATTCTGGAACAAATAAACAGTCACCCAAAACCATAGTCTTATAAATAACTTGCTCTACTGTAAATGCAGACACAAGTTCCCATTTTCAAGCTTAAAATATCTATGTCCATTGCTGACGGGTATGCCATGTTTGAACTACTGCAAAGAGTAACAAACATAATCAGTGATTCCTGAATCAATAATTCATTCACTGATCAGGCCTTGATATGCCCATGTCTGGTTCTTTTCATCACCTCTGGACAATTTTTCTTTCAGTGTCCCTTTAATCTGCTCTTGAAGCACCTTCCTTGCGGCTTCTTCATAGCAACTGGTTTGACAACTTATCACCAAGTTATTTTGTTCTTGTTACCACCCTTGGGTTTTCCCTTGGATTTAACAAGACTTTTAGCAAAACTTGCGTTAACTGCATTCTGTTTAGCAGAGCTGCTAGACACAGCAAACATGTCATTAAGAGTTCGAAGCATCTCTACTCCACTCTTAACCATGTGCATTTACTTATGCAAGTATTTGAAAAAACTAACAAAGACTAATTGTGAACTACCATATTTGTCCTTTTCCAATCTGAGTATTGCGTCCTTAAACGCATCCTCTGCAGGTTGTTATGGCCCTTATACTGTCAGGACAAATTTTAGCTTTCATGTTTTAGAACAATATCAAAAAATTATTTTTCACTTAGTTGGTATCATCTAGAGATTTTTGACTCAAAATCATTTCTAAGATATTTTCTGAAAAATATATAAAGCACACAATTACAAACAAATAATGCAACAAACAAACGAAGTACAAGTAGATTATCGTAACTACTCTTGTTTATTGTTAACAATCTTTTAGTTTATCTTTACAAGGCTTACGTTGGGCAAGTCACTTGTAAAAATTAAAATTGTTATTTGGGCCTTCGGTGCCATTACCAGAGCCCTCGTTGAGAGGGTTAATAACTTTACCAAAGTTGAATGTAGTTAACCATTGTTTAATTTCAAAATTATCTTTAGTATCTAAGCATTGCCGACGTTGAGCCGTACAATATTTTACTAAAATTTTGAAATTATTAAGGTCCAATCAAATAAAATCCAGTTATGCTTATCTGTTGGGGCTTCACATGACCATTTTATTAATGGACCCACAAAAGGAGCCCACAGGTTTTAAAATTAATTAATTAATTTTAAAACCTTCACCCATTCAATATTTTTATTTTGAGAATTTTATAAGCTTAGTTGAATTTATTGTTTAATTTCAAAACTATCTTTAATAATTTAGTATTGTCGACGTTGGGCCGTACAATACTTTATTAAAATTTTAAAATTATTAAGATCCAATAAAATCCAATCATGTTTATCCGTTGGGGCTTCACATGAATATTTTATTGATAGGCCCACAATGCGCTTGGAGGTTAAATTAATTTCTTAATTTAAATCTCCTCCCTTAATTATTTAGGTCCAATCTAATAAAATCCAATCATGCTTATTCGATGAGACTTCACATGATTATTTTATTAATGGTCCTATAATGCGCTTGAAGGATAAATTAATTTTTTAATTTAAATCTCCTTCCATTCAACATAAGCAATTTTTCCAATTTCCAAGAATTATTTAATTGAGAGTATTCTTAGTTTGATTTCAAAAATTATTTAAGCAAGAGCGCCGATGAACGTGCATCACTTAGCTTATCTGAATTTTGAAATCATTAAGGTCCTAAAATCTGGTCATGATAGGCAGTGTGTGCTTCACACAATCATGATACATTATTGTGGTATGCAGCGTGTGTTTAACACATGACCATTTTAGAAGACCCACAAAAAACTCGCAAAATAAATTATTCTCTTAGGAAATTTGCTTAATTATTTTTCTAGATTTAAATCACCCAAATGACTGATTTAATTATTAATCTAAATTTTAGCAATCATAATAATTATCATTCATAAGGATAATTTGAAATCAAAATAATTTCCATAACGATTATTTGTCTTGATGTTAATTATCCAAAATTAATTAATTCAATTATTAATCTAGATTTTAAACAAAAATCATAATAATTATTAATTAATTTTTTTAGGATAATTTAAAATCAGAATAATCCCATAATAACTATCATACAATACTAGTCGCTGAAGACATAATAGCTATTATGCTCATGTAATCATGCAAGTTATGCAACAATATGGCACCACATATTCTATATGGCATGTTATCGCAATAAAGCATGTTATCAATCATATAAATCATCAAATCATACAATTAAGGCAATTAATTATAATAATAACCTTAATCCATGGTTTCCTAAAAAAATAAAATTACAGAGTAATCAAATAGGAAACTTTGCGGCTGATTGCTCCTTTCCTTATAGTCCATAGGTTCTATTTCAAGCCTCTTTATGGTAGCCATGGGCCCAAAGGCCCAAAATACCAACTTTTGGCGAGAAACCCTAAGTCAACATACAGGAACCCTAGCTGTCACGTCCACTGCGCCGTCACCCGAACTCATCTCAGCATGAAACTCCAGGGGAAGGACTGCCTTGAAAATACGATTGCACCGCCGCCAGAGCCACCCAAAAATGTGGTCGGACGCTCCCTCACGCTCTCATTCTTTTTTGGAGAGTGGCGGCCACTCTCAGCCGCTTGTGGAGGTGCGTGGAGGCTCCAGTGGCGGCTATTCACCGACCGTTGCGTTCGTCTTTCCGTCCTCTTTCCAACCATATATAGATATCCTCATTCTGAGATCGGGAAGTCCTCGAAAAGTCTCTGACAGTGCTGAATGCGCATCTTCCTCGCGGTTTCTCGGTCTTAAACTTTTACAAAATTTGAAAAAATACACAGAAATTCTGCAAAAATAAATAAAAACATCAAGGAGGAAACCTAATCATATGGGATTATCCTCCTTGTTACAACCCAAGAAAATACAAGGAAATTTCTACCATGGATTAAAGCCAAAACCATATAAAGAATAGATTTTTAATGAAAAGAATACTCGTGCAAATAATTGAATAACAAATATAGAATCCTAGGTGCCATATTTTACGAAGCAAAACTAATTACACGAATAGTGAAACTAGATTCACATACCAATGTACCGCCAAGGCTATGATACCAATTGTAGGAACTATTGAATTTATGCGGAAGCGGATTAGGACCTAGTACACTAAGTCCTAGGTAACTCTTTAGCAATGTCCTCCGGAAGATCAAAAACAGCTCCTTGAACCTGATATTGGGATTAGCAACGTTCAAGTAAATTGAATAGTGTGATGATTATCTTAATAGGACTGAAGTTCCTAACAAGAAAATTACACACCAGAATTAAACAATACTATTGAGATACAAAGTTACGAACCCTTTCATCTGCAATTAAGCATATTTTTCCAACTTCATCAGCAGCTGGAGAATAAACATCAGAAAGAAACCCAGTGACTGATCTTGCAGAAAGAAATCCCCTAGATGTAACTGGATCTCGAGTCAGTTATAACGTAATCCATCCCTGCAACACTAGCATTTTAATGAGCAAACCAGATAACACTTGCACAAAAACAGCATTAGGATGTAAGATCATCTATGAATGAGAGAAATACAGAACTTTAAAATAAAATAAAAACTAATTAATTTAGAACCACCTTGTCTGATATTTTTTACAGACTAATTTCACCTTATAAATTAATCAAATACGAAGTACGAACTGGTTTTTTGAAATCTTAACTGATTAACCAACATAAAATATTAAACCAAATATACCAAGTTTTCTGGTTTTTTGAGTTTGGTAGACACCTAATAAAATTTAATGATATTATCCTGCAACCGCTATTCTGCCAGAGCAAAATTTGCATTTTCTTGTTCAAACAGATTTTCTATTAGACGCACATGGCACAACCTTTACACATGTTCATGAAGTATAAATCATTACCTATAATCCAGAAAGAATTAGGGAAACAATAACTACTTTAGAAAATTTTAAGACTTGAACTTCAATTGGAAATATAAGTTTCTACATTACCTGTTCATGGTTGATAAGAGATCGAGATGATGGAGGTCGAGAGAATCCACTCAGCTGTGCTAAAAGACATAGTAACATTCAGCAAAATTATTGAACTGCCCTCTCTTATCTTCAAGAGTAACTTAAAGTACATTTGGAAACATAAAATTAACTGATTTTAATACATATTTGAATTTGCAGCAGCAAAATGAGTTTTTGAGAATGCACAGTAATAGTATCACACAACCAACTCTTCCATAAGCTTAAATCATTGGGTGAAGGCATATGAATTGTTTTACTGTATCTATTAACACAGCCATAAGTTGGTGTCTAGGTATTCAACGTGAATTACATATCCCACTATGAAAATGATGATAAAAAGCTTGCTTGCTCAGTGTACAAGACTGCTACACCATGGATTTCTTTAAACAGTTGGTAACCTGCTTCCTTCAATTATCTCAAAAAATTGCTGAACAAGTTTCTATTGTATTAGTATTTGAAATGACTTTTGGTTTCCATAACTAATAATAACAGTAGTATAACTCAACATATATACTAAAATAACACTCAGAAATGCAAACTGCAGAGATTACAAAACATCAAGCCAAGATTGTAAAAAATATCTGCAAACTCACGGATATAAGATCAGAAAGGATTGTCCGCTTTGAAGTGGCAGTGGCTGATATAGCATAAAGTTTGATCCCTTCAGCAAGCTTTTCTTCTTCTTCACCGACCTTGTTTAAAGAAAACAGAAAAGCATCATAACCATTTTTTTTATTTTGGAATTAAAATGCATTATAATCATGATTAAAATAACTTAAACATTAGTTAGCAGTAGCACAATTCCAGCCGTATGATAGAAAAAATTAGAAGAAAAAGTGAAATAGATACACTTGTAGTCCAAATAAACCGGTTTTACTAAATGAGTTTTCTATACCATTCTGCTTTCGAGAATATAAATTAAAAAAAAAATGATTCCGAGAAGATTGTCATGCACACCCTTAATAATATTAATGTTCATTTGTATATTCCTCGTATAGAAAACGTAAGATAGACAAAAAATAAATAAATAAATAAGTAAAAGTTTTATCCTTTCTTCCTCTGAGTCAGTCTCGAAATCAAATCAAACCATTTGGATGGGGGCCTATGAGCCACCCTGCCCAACTATATGAAAAGATTTATTACATGGTTTCTTCATCCGAATTTTCTGGAAGGATTAGACACTAGACTGAGGGTTTGTTTGACCATTGAAGCCTTTCACTAATAAAAAATAACGATCTTGTCCTCGTTTATAAACTATTTCAAAAATTTAACCTTATCAACAAACACAACACCATTCTACCGACTTTTTGACAACTGTAGCCTTAATTTAATAATTAATTACTAATTCGTCCTTCATCCAAAACATATCACTCATCTGCCCCTGTTTATGTAAAATACCCGGGTAGGAAGGGGGATACTCGGGTATAATTTGAAAATTTCTCCCTACCCGGGTAGTCAAGGGGATACCGGGGTATTGTTCGTAATCTGAAAAATGATTGAATTATTTACCTGAGTAGGGAGGGGATACTCGGGTATTGTTCATAATCTAAAAAAATGCTTGAATTATTTACCCGAGTAAATAGGGGAATACCCGAGTAATCTGGAAAACACTGAAACAAAAAAAGAGAGGGATTTCCTTCTTTTTAACTAGTGGCTGAGAGTTAGCACCTAAAAGCCTTCCTTCAATAGATTTCACCGCTTCTCCAAGATATGCATTCGTGGTTTCTGTTGATTCTCCACTGAAAAAGACTTAAACTCTGATGAATCTGATTTGTGCTTTTCCTTCATATGCCCTCATATTCTGTCCTGAACACCTTCTAATGCCGAAGCAGTAACCTATTGGTTAAGCAGAAAGAAGAAGGAAACAAGGATTGTGAGAAAATACTATTTCTCTTTTCTTAATTTTCTTTAACCAAAAACAATCAAATAACAATAGGGTTCTCCAAGCCTTAAATAGGCAAAAATAAAATAAAAAAGAAGTAAATAACTATAATCATGCGCAATCAAAGGAGATAACGCACAATCAACGCACATTCAAACATAATCTAAAATAACAAAAAGGAAATAACTAGCAATTATTAAAATTCTCTAAATAAAGAAATAAATTATGGAAAAACCCAATCCAAGCGAGTCACCCAGGTGCATCATTCTCCCCTGCCAAAAGAAGATTCATCCTCGAATCTAACGGATAAAGAGACAAGTCAGCAACATTGAAAGTACTAGAAATATTGTATTCCCCAAGAAGTTCAATCTTGTAAGCATTGTTATTGATCTTCCCGAGCACCTTGAAGGGACCATTAGCTCTAGGTAGTTTAACAATCCTGCTAGCCAGAAAATGTTCCTTCCTAAGGTGGATCTATACCATATCGCCTTCCTTGAAAATGGCTTGATTTCTATAACTGTCAGCTTGCTGTTTATATTTCACATTCTGCTTTTGAATATGATCATGAACCTGTGAATGTAACTCTTTTTGCTCCCCAGTGCCCATCTTATATGTAGCTTTGTCCGGAATAACAGCTCCTGGCACAAGGTCAATACAATACTGGATGTCTATTATAGGTGGCAATTCCAATAGCATCTCCTCAAGAACCACATCAACGAAGTCCTCTAGCAATGGCTTAACCTGCAAAGGAATGTCAGAAGCACTAGAATTTTTTTCTATCACCACACAAGCACATATGTCAATGGCATTGGTAGATTCCTCTTGGGAACCTACTCTGGACAACATAGTGTTCTTCGCCTCCTCCTTCAATTCAGATGGACCCAAGGTAATAGTTAGTCCGTCCTTCTTGAAAGTGTAAGTCTTTTTGAAGTCATCGTGCTTCGTCTTCCTATCAAATTGCCATAGCCTCCCCAACAAGATATGACTCACGTCCATCGGAATCACATCGCACCACACCTCATCAGTGTACCTTTTACCGATAGAAAACTGTACGAGACACCTCTTGTTCATCTTCACCTCACTTCCTTTCTTCAGCCAAGCAAGCTTGTATGGTTGTGGGTTGTAAGAACCCGCACCGTTAATTAAGGAATTTAATTAATAAATTGTGAGAAAATAGGAAATGATTCCATAATTGACCCTAATAATTATTATGAGGCTTTAAAAATTATAGTAAGTGAGTAATAATGCTGAAAGTCGCTTTTCGGAAGAAAAGTGCAGATACCGGTTCTGCTAGTCGGTATAAATGAGTACCGAAAAAGTATCCCGAAAAATTAATGTAAGTGCATGATAATTACTAGAATGATATGTAGGACTTGTAAAACGAGTTTCAAGTCCAAATAATGAGAACTGGTGCTAGAAACCGGTACTGGCTTGGAAAAGCGCGTACCGGAAAAGTGCTCAGAAAATTATAAGAAAAATATGATAATTCTTGGAAAAATGTGTAGTTTCAGATTCCAAAGTTTGGGATTAAAATGCTAAGCGTAGCAATTAAAGTTAATACTGTGTGTTTAAGTGCGTTTGGGCTATAAATACCCTCTTTAAGGGCACTCAACCCTAGAAAATAGAATTTTGAGCGTGAGAGTGGCTGACCAGAACTTTGAAACACTGTTCCATAGGCTTATCTTCTCCTTCTTGAGACTTGAAGCCATTTTCTTCACACTTTCTTCTTGTAGATACTTTGAGTGAGTAGGAAACACTATGGTGAGTGTGTTGGGAACATCATTCTGAGTTTTTACCTCTGTTGGAGGGTCCTTGTTTGCTGAATTTGGGGGTTGAGAGTGTTGAGCCTTTGTGGTGGCATTTTGGAGCTCAAAGGAGCTTCCTTGTGATGTAAAAGAACCACCTTTGTGCACTATTTTCGTGTACAGTGAGAGACAGAACCTTGGAGCTGTTGTGTGAGCTCCAAGAGCACCCTTTTTCTGAGTTTGAGCTTGGTAAGCTTCACCACCTTTGATCTTGAGTTTTTGAGCTTAAAAATGGAACATTGATGCATGTAAAGGTTAAAGGATGATAACTTAATGTTGGGGTTGGTCAAACACACCTAGAAATGCATGTTTAGGTGTTTAAAATCGGTAAAAACCCAACCTTGGAAGGATATCTTCACGAAATGCAGTTTCTGCATTCTGTCGTGAAATATCCGGATATCTGCCCGAAAAATATCCGGATATGGGATTCTGGATATCCGGATATTGCATATCCGGATATGTCCAGTGAGATATCCGAATATTGCATATCCGGATATGGTCCCGAGAAATATCCGGATATTCTGGGATTTCGAAGAACAATAGCTGTGCGGTGTGTACAGTAGGCTATTGGGGGTTTGTTGACCCTAGATTGATGAAGTGGAACTTCTGTAATTAATGAACTAAGTCAAAATCGTTGTGATTAAGGGCTTATGGCTTGGTATGGAGCCTTAAGACGTAAAACGTAAGGAAATGCGTTGTCTTTAATTTATATGCTTGTGTTGCATTATTATTGATACAGAATTGGTCCATAACATATTGTGAATCTGCTGTGTTTGGACTTTGAGCTGTGGACTCTTGGCCTTGGGTGTTAGCTTGCAAGGTAAGATTTCGTGTCCTCGGTTTAGCCATGTTGTGGTTCCACCATGTCCCATGGGGGTGTGGTTGTAAGCATGTTGTGTTACATGCTTTGAATATTTGAAATGTTGTTGAGCTCTATGTGTAATGGCTTTTAATATGCATGTGTTGTTTCATCTTGACGGTAATCCTGAGTATGTGGCGTCATACGATATGGTGATCCGGGGTGAATGCAAGTGGCGTCTTGCACTAGTGTGGGTATTTGGCGTATGTAAATCCTGTATTTCTCTGGCCAGTAGAATAGTATTGACACACATGACATGATTATCTGCTGCATTACACTGTTTTGGAAATGATATTGATGAACTATTTTTAAACTTATATTGCACATGTAAGTGAGCTTGGGGTGGAAGATCCTTGAGGACCCCTTGTCTTACTGAGATTTCTTGTTTAGAGATCTCACCCCACGTTTGGGGAATGCTTATTTCAGGTTCCGATAGTTTGGTAACTGATGCCTCTGGCGGCAGGAGGCCAGAGCTTAGTTGATGTTATTATGCTGTTTTGCTGCCATGACTGGATATGGATGTTGTTTATGTTTTCTGCTATTTATGCTTATGTTGTTGTTGAGACTGATGTTGGGCGTGTTGCCTTATTTGAGTGAGCATGGGGATTGTCCATGACACTTTATGTTAGTGCTTTAGATTGGAGTTGTATAAACTGTTAGATGGTCCGGTCTACGTTGTTGTAGTTCCATGACTAGAGCCACACTTTTATTATCTATGATTATGAGGTATTTCAGTTAGCTGTTTTATTGCAATTACGTACAATAGATGTTTTATTAATTGATTAATAAGCAAGTTGGTAATGATAATGAGATCATAATTGAAAAGAAAAAGATATTCCGCATTTTTAATTAAGCGCTGCTTAATACGATAGTATGATAACATTACCAGATATATACGGGGTGTTACATGGGTGTTCCTCTGTTTTCAATTCTAACTTCTCGACCATGGTATTAGAGACTACATTCTCGCATCTCCCTCCAACAATGATCATATTACACACCTTACCGCCGCTGGTGCACTTGGTGCGGAATATATTGTGTCGAAGCCACGACTCATTATCAATGATGTCAACATTCAACACCTTTCGGACAACCAAGGCTTCGCCTGAATCACCAAAAATAATCTCACATTCTTCAGACCCTCCATCCACCTCATGTTCTTCATACTCATCATAGGTAGGGCCTATATCATGGGCTTGAGTATCCGCAAGAGTAATATACTATCAGTTTGGACAATCAGCGGTGAAGTGTCCTAAACCCTGACACTTGAAACACCTCTTTGTCGTAGTCCTTATCTTGCTTGCTTCACCATTGATCGATCCCCCCTTGCTCACTAGCTTCGGGTTATAAGGTTCCATCCCCGCACTAGTGTTGGCTGTCGAGCTTGATAATTGTCCTTTGTCACAAAATCTGGGTTGGAATTTTGAAGTACCTCCTCTTCTTTTACACTGCTCCTCTACCTTCAAAGCTAGTCGACATACGTCCTCATATGACCAATATTGGTGCAGGTATACAACATCTGATATCTCAGTTCGCAGTCCTCCTAGGTAACGAGCAACCAGTTGTTCGTCCTCCTCTGCAATATCACAGTGCATCCGTAAACGATCAAACTCAGTTGTATACTGTTCAACTGATAGTTCTCGCTGCTTGAGATTATGGTACTCAATAAATGCCTCCTGCCAGTAGCGAATGGGTAAGAATTTTTGTTGTAACAGTTTCTTCATCTTATCCCAACTTCTGATCTTTGACTTCCCTTCTTTGTTTCGCTGCTTCTTAATATGTTCCCACCAAATTGAGGCATGCTTCCTCAATTTGATAGCGACCAGTTTGACCTTCTGGTCTTCTGTCAAGTCTCTGATATCAAAGACTCTTTCGACGGTGTGTAACCAGTCGATGAACTCATCTGGATGAGTGGTGCCCTCGGATTTCGGGATCTCAATCTTCACCCCAATATTGGCAAAAAAGGATTGATTTCCAGGTTGACTTCGTCCTCGTCGCTCCTATTTCCAGTTCCAGAATGGGTTTTCGTTCCTTTCCTCCTCATGAGATGATCTTTCAGATTCCCTTCCTTCATTTAACTCGTCCAACTGTGTTTGGGCAAACCGTTGTTCGAGCTCCTGAATTGGTCTACCTTGTTCTGCCATTGTAGCAGTCATTGCTACCGTTGTGGCGTCTCGCGCGTCGATGTATGGTTGTTCATCGTCGCCAAGAAGGGTGTTACCACGCTCTCTACCGCCGCCATCGCCTCGACCCCGTCGTCCACGACCTCGACCGCCGTTGTTCTGTTCAGCCATTTAAGTTACAACCAGAGCTCTGATTACCAAATAATGCCGAAGCAGTAACCTATTGGCTAAACAGAAAGAAGAACGAAACAAAGATTGTGAGAAAACACTATTTCTCTTTTCTTAATTTTATTTAACCAAAAACAACCAAATAACAATAGGGTTCTCCAAGTCTTAAATAAGCAAAAATAAAATAAAAAAGAAGTAAATAACTATAATCATGCGCAATCAAAGGAGATAACGCACAATCAACGCACACTCAAACATAATCTAAAATAACAAAAAGGAAATAACTAGCAATTATTAAAATTTCCTAAATAAAGAAATAAATTATGGAAAAACTCCTTCCAAGTGAGTCACCCCGGTGCATCACCTTTTGTGGTAATGAACTTTCTTTCTCATGGTAATAAGATTTGTCGTTGTTCACCCGATTCTTTCCTTTTGAAAATGAACTTTCTTAACCATGGTAATAAAATTTGTTTTGGATGCAAGACTTATCAATCTTTTTTTAACTTATCTTTAACTCACGGGCTTCCTTCAATTTTTTTCTGTTCATCGATTTTCTCCATAAAATTCCATCTGTTTTTTTTTCATCCCTGTGCTTGAAAATATTCGCTGCATGCTCAGTCCTTCAAATATTATTGAACAGGCTCTCTTACTATTTGTGAAGTTGGCTGAACCTGTAAAACTACCAAAATGAACAGGTTGGTACCGATTGCTTCCATATAATTTTTTTTTTGCTCTGTTTCATCGACCATTTTGTCTATGCTATATATATTGGACTGACGTTTTCCCCTATTTTGAGTGATTGAATCATATTTTGATTTGGCTGAAAAAGCATGACATTTCATGTATGAAAAAGAATGACATTTCGATTTTGCTGAAGATATCCCTGCCATATATATTGATGTATCCAGTATCCCCCTCACTACCCGGGTAAATAATTGCATACCCGGGCATCCCCTTACTTACTCGGGTAAATATTCAACATATGTAAGAACAGATTTATTTCGCGAAATATACCCGGGTAGGGAGGAGGATATCCGAGTATCTTAATGGTCAACGGTCAAATAGGGGCAAATTGGTGTTATGTTTGTTGAAAATGTTAAACTTTTAAAATAATTTATAAACGAGGGCAAGATGATAATTTTTTACTAGTAAAAGGTTACAATGATCAAAAAGCCCCAATCTACCCATGTTTGACCGTTGACCACCCATTTACCCGGGTAGACCACCCAGTTACCCGGGTAGAAAATTATTTACCCGAGTACACACCCGGTTACCCTAATACATATCCTTATTTACCTTAGTACACACCTGGTTACCCTGGTACATATCCTTATTTATCCTGGTACACACCTGGTTACCCTGGTACATGTCCTTTTTTACCCTGGTACACTCCCAGTTACTTTGATACATATCCTTATTTTCAAAGCTCAATCGTGAATCCTGCTCAAATCCATCAATGAAGAAAACGTGGTTAAATGTGTTACTTCACATTAAAAACCGTGAATCTCGCTAATATTAAAGCTTTTAAATTTTATAAAAATTTAGTCTTACTTCACATTAATTTTAAAATATATACATAATTTCACTCTTATTCACAAAAAATTATGGATATGCAATGAAATCTTTATGCCTTATAGACTAGGGACTCAATGTGCATACCTCACTAACACTCGCTCTAGCTAAAGGGGATGTTTTCTTGACAAATTTTTCATATAAATTACAAACACATTTAACCACGTTTTCTTGATTTGAGTGGGATTCACGGTTGGGCTTTGAAAATAAGGATATATATCAGAGTAACTGGGTGTATACCAGGATAAATAAGGACATGTACCAGGGTAACCTAGGTGTGTACCAGGCTAAATAAGGATGCATGTACCGGGTAAATGGGTGATCAACGGTCAAACAAGGGTAGATCGATGTTATATTTGTTGAGAAAGTTAAATTTTTAAAATAGTTTATAAACGAGGGTAAGATGGTAATTTTTTATTAGTGGTCAAAAAGCCCTGGACTAGCCTCTCTTCTTCTTCTTTTCTTGCTATTGCTAGAAATTGGGCACCAAAGTCCTAAATCACACGAGGACAAGGCGTCGAGGCTAGAGAGTATCAATCAATGGCTTTCTATAGCAGAGGCACAATCACAACAATATCTCGCGCTTTATTTTTCACCTCTAACTCTAACAGCTACGCTTCACCCTTTATCCGCACCTGCCTCCAATGTAGATTTCCCACATCACTGTTACCTCTTTCATCTGCACCCATTTCAACATACCCTTCTGATTCTCTCAAAGTTTCCAACTTTAATGCCATTCAACGGCATTTCAGCTCCACCAAGAAGAGCATAGACACCAAGGTCAATTTCTCTCTCTCCGATTCCGAGACTGATGATGAAAATACCCCGAAAGAGATTGACAAGAATAAGAAGCTACCACCACCCCCTTACGACCCCTTTAGCAAGAAGCCAGCGATAGAAGAGCCAAATGACCCCAAGGATTTGCAAGAGATTTTTCACAACATGAGGGGCGGTGACGGGTTGTTCAACCATGCAGTCAAGATGTTCGACGCTTTGTCCAAAGAGGGTCTCACTCACGAAGCATTGGAACTCTTCCGCCAGATCAAAGACAAAGGTCAAATGCCCGACGTGGTGGCCCACACGGCCATCCTCGAGGCCTATGCCAATGCTCGACAACCAAAGGAGGTTCTCAAGGTTTACATGCGCATGCTTGCTTCTGGGGTCTCTCCTAATGCTTACACCTACGCCGTTCTCATCAAGGGACTTGCTACTGCTTCTGATGCCAAGTTTTTGAGGGACGCCAACAAGTTTGTTTTGGAAATGATGGACAAGGGGATGAGACCCAATGCTGAGACTTACACCTCACTATTTGAGGCATTGGTCAGAGAGGAGAAGCTTGATGAGGCTGCACAGTTACTGGAGCAAATGAAGGCCAAGGGGTTTGTTCCTGACGAGCAGGCTGTTCGTGAGGTTCTCAAGAATAAAAGGGGCCTTCTTTTCAGAACTGTCTTCAACATTCTTTTTGGCAAGTAGCTAGAAGCTACTCCACTCTTAAGCATAGTGTGGATGGTTTAGAACATGTAATTTTGGGGGACAAATGGAATACTGAAATGACATGTGCATCTTGTTTGTGTCTTTGATTTTATATATATGGTTTTTGTTGGCTATGAATTTACATTTCCTTTTGGTCCACATGAATGGTAAATTGGTGTTACTAACAATAATCACAAAATTAGAAATCAGATTGGAATTTTGGAGAAGCTTGATTGAAAGGAAAATAATAGCGAAGGACCAACTCATGATATATATTAGCAATATCAGGAGCAATTGGAAACATATTCGACATATAAGGCTATTCCTTCTTTTCACTGAAACAAATTAAGGTTCAAGCGAATCATAAACATGACGGTTAAGCAGACAAAACAGCACCATACATTTACTGTTCTTGCTAACTATAATTGCCGCAATACAAATGATAAATAAATTTTACATTAAGAAAGGGTAAAGAAAAAAAAAAAAAAAAACTACGACCAAAAGTGGAGGGAAGCATATTTCAATTTCTTGAATCCATTAGACAATCACCAGTGGCAGCTCAATTCTGGGACAAGGTGGCGCCAAAATTGAAGACGCGCAAACTAGAAAAAGTCTCTTTTTTTGGGACAATCTGATGCCCGATGCCCAGCTTGTCCACAATTAAAACAGGCCCCTCCATTGCCGCCTCTGCAATGCAGATTAAGATGTCATGAGTTATACGTAAACCTATATATACACAGATGAATCTTACTATAACTCGCATAGGAAGAAAATTAACAAATATAAGTAAAACAGTTACTATAACCTGTTTGATGATGAATGCCTGCTGGATCGTCCACCTCCAGTTAGCCAGTCATCCCCGCTGCTTCTTCCCATTGGAGACCTGCTGTTGCCAGATCCATAACTTCTACGACCTCTCCCAAATGTATCACCAAAGACATCATCAGAATCTTGACCCCCTCCCCATCCCCGTCCTCTCAAATCCCTAGAACCTCCTCTCTGATCCCTAGAACCTCTTCGGTTAGTTCGATCTCTGTTAGAGAACTTCCCATAGTAATCACTGGCAGGCTCATCGTCTTGCAAAGGAGGTAACTGCCAATAAAAAGTAACATGAGAAATCACATTTATCAAATTAGTAATCCAATAAACTAATACCAAAATATGGTGTTTTGGTTGGGGAAGAAAACCAGCACAGACACACATAATCCACAGAGAATTACAAAACAAAAAATATTAACCAAACATTGTGATTTTACCTTGGTGATCTTGGAAATTGTGTTGCCAGGGGGTATGTTCTTATTGAGTAACTCTTTAGCAATGTCCTCCGGAAGATCAAAAACAGCTCCTTGAACCTGATATTGGGATTAGCAACGTTCAAGTAAATTGAATAGTGTGATGATTATCTTAATAGGACTGAAGTTCCTAACAAGAAAATTACACAACAGAATTAAACAATACTATTCAGATACAAAGTTACGAACCCTTCCATCTTCAATTAAGCATATTTTTCCAACTTCATCAGCAGCTGGAGAATAAACATCAGAAAGAAACCCAGTGACTGATCTTGCAGAAAGAAATCCCCTAGATGTAACTGGATCTCGAGTCAGTTGTAACGTAATCCATCCCTGCAACACTAGCATTTTAATGAGCAAACCAGATAACACTTGCACAAAAACAGCATTAGTATGTAAGATCATCTATGAATGAGAGAAATACAGAACTTTAAAATAAATAAAAACTAATTAATTTAGAACCACCTTGTCTAATATTTTTTGCAGACTAATTTCACCTTATAAATTAATCAAATACGAAGTATGAACTGGTTTTTCGAAATCTTAACTGATTAACCAACATAAAATATTAAACCAAATATACCAAGTTTTCTGGTTTTTTGAGTTTGGTAGACACCTAATAAAATTGAATGATATTATCCTGCAACTGCTATTCTTCCAGAGCAAAATTTGCATTTTCTTGTTCAAACAGATTTTCTTTTAGACGCACATGGCACAACCTTACAAATGTTCATGAAGTATAAATCATTACCTATAATCCAGAAAGAATTAGGGAAACAATAACTACTTTAGAAAATTTTAAGACTTGAACTTCAATTGGAAATATAAGTTTCTACATTACCTGTTCATGGTTGATAAGAGATCGAGATGATGGAGGTCGAGAGAATCCACTCAGCTGTGCTAGTGCAGCTGCAAGGGCACTTGCTCCTTGTTCTTCAACCAGCTTTTGTGCAGTTGCCGCGAAATACTTCACAGACTCAGGATGAACTCTATTAAGTGTAGCGACAACTTGCTCGGCAGATGAGTCCAAAATTTCTTCCATAGCTGGCGGACTAATAAATTCAAATTTGCAGCCTACATCACGCGCAATGGATCCAACTGTTCTTCTCTGGCTACTAGTGTACATCAGAATGGCAGTACCCGCTTTTCCTGCACGCCCAGTACGACCAGAGCGATGTACAAAAGTCTCAGAATCATTGGGAAGTTCATAATGTATAACCTGAAGAAAACAATGTAATGCCAACAAGCTTTTCAATACGTTGAGAACAGACAGAGATTCAGTAATAGACCAAAGCAAAAAAACCTTTTAATTCAAACATAGATCTTAAACTTCTCTGGTGGTAACCAGAATTTAGATTGAGACAAATTAATTAATCAACCTATTGTTTACACAAACATTTTATAAAATATAAAATTCTAATTACCAAGTCAAATTAGATAGAGTACAGTGCTAAAGATTCAATAATAAGGTCAGATGCAGCAGAAATATCTTTTATATCAAAACAGATAATTCAAATTTAGAAACCCAAAACCTTAAACCCTAAACAATGACAAGCAACCCAAACTTGATTGAGAAATCCTAATCCAGAATAGGCAATAAAGTCCTAGGTATAGGATATCTAACAACCCAAATTTCTGGACCCCATGCTTCCAACAATGAGTTAAAACCTATATCTTCAATTAAAAACCCTAATTTCCAAATTAAAACAATCTGAGTGGTTGGGTTCATTCCTTCTGCCTCAATTGGTATTAAATATAAAATGCATGATAAGAACTTCAAAACTGCTAGAATTCAAGACGATTCTTACAGAACCAAGACTGGAGATGGGATGTTTAGTCGTGGACCTAAAAGCATCACTTTGAACTTACCAAATCAACATTGGGAATATCAAGTCCACGAGCTGCAACATCAGTGGCAACAAGCACTGTGAATTTCCCTTGCCGAAAACCGTTCAATGTTCTCTCTCTCTGAGGCTGAGATATATCACCATGCAGTGCTTCAGAAGTTATACTACTTGTTAATGCCAATGATACTTCGTCAGCATCTTTTTTTGTCTGAGTGAAAACAATAGTCTTCCCACCCTTTGCATAGACCTAAAAGACATAGTAACATTCAGCAAAATTATTGAACTGCCCTCTCTTATCTTCAAGAGTAACTTAAAGTACATTTGGAAACATAAAATTAACTGATTTAATATATATTTTGAATTTGCAGCAGCAAAATGAGTTTTTGACAATGCACAGTATCACACAACCAACTCTTCCAAAAGCTTAAATCATTGGGTGAAGGCACATGAATTGTTTTACTGTATCTATTAACACAGCCATAAGTTGGTGTCTAGGTATTCAACGTGAATTACATCCCACTATGAAAATGATGATAAAAAGCTTGCTTGCTCAGTATACATGACTGCTACACCATGGATTTCTTTAAACAGTTGGTAACCTGCTTCCTTCAATTATCTCAAAAAATTGCTGAACAAGTTTCTATTGTATTAGTATTTGAAATGACTTTTGGTTTCCATAACTAATAATAACAGTAGAGTAACTCAACATATATACTAAAATAACACTCAGAAATGCAAACTGCAGAGATTACAAAACATCAAGCCAAGATTGTAAAAAATATCTGCAAACTCACCGATATAAGATCAGAAAGGATTGTCCGCTTTGAAGTGGCAGTGGCTGATATAGCATAAAGTTTGATCCCTTCAGCAAGCTTTTCTTCTTCTTTACCGACCTTGTTTAAAGAAAACAGAAAAGCATCATAAACATTTTATTTTATTTTGGAATTAAAATGCATTATAATCATGATTAAAATAACTTAAACATTAGTTAGCACAATTCCAGCCGTATGATAGAAAAAATTAGAAGAAAAAGTGAAATAGATACAGTTGTAGTCCAAATTCATCAATGCCTTCTCTTCTTTTCTCTCCAAATCCATTATACCAAACATAGCATAAGATACTTCCAAACAGATGAAAACAGGATTATGATGAGAAATTGTACAACTGTTGTTAACTAAATTATTCAGGACAGGGGCTGCACACTTGCAATGACCACATTATGAGTAGCTTTTTATCCACAGGAAAAAATACTCTGTAAAAAGTCAGTATACAAGCTAAGGATTATGCTAAGACATGCAGTCAACACAAAAGCCCTTATTTTCAAGTAATTCTTGCCATTCAGGCGAGTTTTACATCAATAAACCTCAAATAGTAGGGGTAGGATACATCTATGTAACTCTATAGTCAACACAGATTGGGAATTCAATTTGTAAAAATCAAATAAATGAGACATCTACTGGGGAATATAATGCATGTATTCTCCTTGAACAATATTCCGACTCCCTTTTGTAAAAGTTTACTCACATGCTCACAGCCAACTGCCAAGGCTGACAATGTTTTATAGCTATACTTCTTTCAGCCACAATCCGATTATCATATGGAGCTTGTTTCATGCCATGACACTAGCTCTCGTTGACCAAAAATATGAGATGATCATGTTACCCACTAAACTTGTCACGTGACATATAAAGAGAATATCGCCAAATGCCAACACAATTATATGCTGTAATCTACACTTGCACTCTATAAAATAACAAGTATTTAATCAACTATACTTGATGTATATTTAGAGAGGAGAGACGACAAAAAGTAACAAAAAATTTACCAAATCAATTGTCAATGGATTGTTCAAATATTTTCTTGACAATTTATTCACCCAACCCGGCATGGTTGCAGAAAAAAGCATGGTCTGCCGCTGAGATGGGACCTTTTGTAAAATCATTTCCACATCCTCCTCAAACCCAACAGCAAGCATCTGATCGGCTTCATCAAGGACCAAATACTGAACTTCACTCAGTCTAAGGCTGTTCCCTTTTATTAGGTCAATAAGTCTACCAGGTGTTCCAACCACTACATCAACACCGCGCGTAAGTGCACTTTGCTGTGTTACATAAGAAACACCGCCATAAACACAAACTGTGTTTAGATAAGGTGCAGATTCTTTTATCTCTTTCTCTACTTGCTTTGCTAACTCCCTAGTAGGTGCAAGAACCAATACTCTAGGAAGACGACCAGACCGCCTGCAATAAACAAACAAACACATCATTACATCAAGCAAGCCTAAAATCGATAGTGTGCATTATGCACGAATGATGCCAACCTCAGAGGACTCTGTTCATCATCAGTGATACCCTTAATAACTGGGATTCCAAATGCTAATGTCTTCCCAGTCCCAGTCTTTGCTCGAGCAATGATATCTCTACCTTCTAATGCAGGCACTAACACAGCTCTCTAATCACACAAAAACAATAAAAAATAAAAATGATACAAGTTAGACAATCAACACTAGGAGACATGGTAAAGGCATAGCGCATAAATTTGGAATAAAAGTAGTTCAAACGGATACTTACAAGAACGAAGTTGAACAAACACGAAATTAACCAAAAGCAATAAGCATATGCAAGATATTAGTAATTTCACATTTTATCCAAAAAAAAGCATATGTACATTTGAGAGATAAGTGAAAGCATAGAAAAGCACATGTTATCATGAAGCAATAAGTAGGTATCTTATAACATTATCTACACATGTTGTTGTTGAAAAGTTAGAAAATAATAATAATAATAATTAGAATGGAGACCTGAATGGGGAAAAGGCTAGTGATTCCACGCTTCTGGAGGGAATCGACAAGGCGCGAAGGCAAACCAAGCTTGGAAATGTCAAGCTCGTCGACGCTGACGCTAACAGGGGTCTCTGTTTCATAACCATAGCCAAACTGGTCGTCACCAGAAACATTATCCAAAACCTTGAACGCTTCTTCGGAGAGGATGGAAGAGTTGGGAGTGGCAATGGCGGAAGGAACAAAACAAAGTGTGGGTTTGTTGTTGGTGTTTGCACGGAGGAGGGTGTTGAAGCAACGGGACTTGTTGTCCAAGGACGATTGCAAAGAAATGGAGGGTGTTGGCGTTGCCCTTTTATGCAGTTCGAGAGAGGGGGATTGGTATATGGAAGAAACACCTAAAATGGAAGAAGCCATTTTGCGTTGGAACTCGGGTTCCAAGCTTGAGCCCCTTAGGTTTGAGGAAGTAACACTGCAAGAAGAAGATAAGGCTACGCACCTCTAACCCTGTGACTGTGAGTATGGCTTTATAAACCACCACCTCGTGGTGTGAGTGAGATATTTCAGGTAGGGTCTTTTCTATGCCTGCGTTGTAAGAAACTTATAGATATTTATTTACGTTCGTTTTTTATCGGACACAAATTAAGATATTTTTATAATTATAATTTATTTTAAAATTATAATATTTTTTATTATTAAATTTTTTTAATCTTTCAACTTAAAATGATGTCGTTTTGAGAATAAATATAGTTAATTTATCTAGGGATAGGATCAATTTACACCGGTGTAAGAATAATAAATCTTACACTAAATCTGAACCGTTGATTTTCGTGCATCCAACGGTAGAGATTTATTGAAAATTAAAAATTAATTAATGAGTGAGACCTAATAAATCTTAACCGTTAAATGCAGAAAATCAATGGTTCAGATTTGATGTAAGACTTATTATTCTTACACCGATGTAAGATGGTCATGCCCCATTTATCTATATTCATTATAAAAACATTAAAGCTTGTATGTTTTTTAATGTTTTTATTTTTAAGGTTTACTTATACACGTCTTTAGCACCAATAAATATTGATCATCATTTACTAGGGAGATATTAATATATGACATTACCATTATGATTTTATATTTTTACGATTTTTTTATCAATATTTCATATATTTTTACGTTCTTATAATTTTTTATGATTTTTTTATGTTACGATTTTACATTTTATGATTTTTTATCCCTTTTTCAATTTTATGAAAAATTTCAATTTTAACTACTTTGTACATGACTTTATAATTAATATAGGGTTTTGCATTTGTCATGTTGCATGACAAATGCAAAGTTTCCTACACATACATCGATATTTGTGTTATATATATATATTTTTTTTTTAAACATGATGGACCCCACACTTATTGTCTCTATAACATGATAGGAGAATTGTCCTACAACATGATACTTATTTTTTCCATATATATATATTTAAGATTTAATATTTTTGCTTAGCAATAATTTTGTTTCCTATAGGAGTATGCCTAACTAACTTTTGATTTGTATTATACTCAAATCAAATTATTGTCAAAATTTACCGAAAAAAAAAAAGTTATACTCAAAAGAACACGATATTAAAAACCTAATCTATGGAACTGGTTTATTTTTAAGGAGGCATTTGTTTGGTAGAGGGATAAATTATATATTACAAAAAACCTTACATTGTCATTGAGAATCTTATTTACTCATGTTCTGTATAAGGATTGTACAAATTTTTCTAAAAAAAAAAAAAATTATCAAAATTTTATTTTATGGAGCCGATTTCCAAGTTAGAATATCACCAGATTAGTGATATTCTTGGATTCCCATCAATGAATTTTTTTTCCCAATTTTTCGAACAAAAATACCCTTGTTAAAGCCCTAGTGTGGGTCACCATTGGTAGTAGCCTCACAACTTGAACCTTGCACCGATTCGAACATCACCTGTTTCTCCATCAATACCACGACAAATTGGGCTAGTATTGTCCTTACAATTTCGAATTCAACCCTCGAACACAAGAATCCGTCTCACAGATTCACGCAAGTTCCAACACGTGCAAAAATTGTTAGAATTTGGATATCCACACAGATGCAAGTGACAACCACACAAATATATCTATGAAGAACTTTCTGTTGTCAAATCTATTCTCTTGATCTCTTGATCTATTTGATCTACTTGATCTCTTGATCTTTTTCTTTTTTCTCTTTTTGACATAACTGACTCATTAATATTCTAACTGACATAACTTCAAACTCATTAATGTCCACTAACACAAACCTAAGGACATGACTCTTCACCAGAAAACTCTTCACATTTCTATTTTCTATTTTCTGTTTTATCTCATTAAAATTTAACCCAACAAAACTCCCCCTTAAATTTTAATTCTTTTTTTTTGAATTTTCCACCGATTGATTTTTTTCGCGCTGCTTCCATGTTGCACTCCTTTCTTCATTTTTTTTTTTTTTGTCCGGCGGTTCCTTCATTGGTGGAAGATAGACAGTCTTGAATGTTCCTCTGTCGACCTCATCCTCCAATATACTTCCACATCCATTCTTACACGTATGATCTTCACACAAGTCATCATACTGATAAGTATCTGTATCACTATAACGTCCCATTAGTTTTACAACACCTATGCCAATTTTAATAATTTCAGATTCAACATGTGCTACATTAATAGCACGTTGGGCCTCTTCAACCATAGTAACCCCATCACTCATTGAGGACCGTTGATTCCCATCATCAAGCAAATAACTCAACTCATCATTTTCTGATTCCGCCCCACGATCTTCTTCTGGTTTACGCTTGAGCCAAAATGATTCCACCATAAAAGTAACTCTAGGCTCCTCATCGCCGGGTTCCCTATCCACAATCACACTTTCCATCTTTCCGCTTTCAGTTTCTTCATCGTCGAGTTCTTCTTCATCGAGTCCAGCTTCCACGCGCCTCAACAATGGAATCTCAGACCACCGTCCTCCAGGGAAATGGTCTCTTTTCGGTGGTGTCGACATCTTCCACTTCCACCATAAATTCAATGCAGTCTTCGACTTCTGACTTCCAACCCGAACCGCACCTATGCCGGTCTCCGACATCAACCTCATCACGCCGGGGTCGAGCTCTTCTCCAAAACATGAACTCGGTGATTTAGCCGGGATCTCACCCAACCCGGTTATCAACACGGAACTCGGATTCGCGGTCTCCTCCATGCCGGTCTCCATCAAGCACCTCGGCTTCTCAATCTCCTTTCCGATTTTCGACTCTGTCTCCAGACACTCAGGTTCCACGAAGTCTTCTACCTCGACAATAGACTCGTCGTTCCCGTCCTTCTCCGCTTCGATCTCGGCTCCTTCGTTCTCCTCATCTTCTATCTCAGCTCCTTCGTTCTTCTCCTCTTCTATCTCGGCTCCTTCGGCCGCAGTCATCTCCATCGTCTTCTTCTCCGAGTCGTCTCTTACGCATTCTGACACGTCAATCTCCTCCGCGGATGCGTTGCCGTTGGCAACCTCGGATTCCACCATCTCGGTCTCTTCTTCATCCGCATCATTTTCCTCATCTTCATCATCATCATTGAAGATTTCATCTTCTTCATTAATCAGATCAAAACGTCCAGGCAAGTATTTTGTTACGAAGGCCATTAGAAAATCCTTCCACATATTATTAAAGTCGCGGCAATTCCATGTACGGAACCATTTGATTGCGCTTCCTCTGAGTCTTCTCATGGCTACCTGCCATTTGTCCTCCGTCCAGATTTTTTCTTTCCAAAAATGTTCCTTCAAACAGAGAAGCCAATCTAATGCTTCATCCTTATCTCCATGGAAGAGTGGCACTTCCATCTCGTTCTTTTCCTCCATAGCCCAAGCTCTGATACCAATTTGTTAGAATTTGGATATCCACACAGATGCAAGTGACAACCACACAAGTATATCTATGAAGAACTTTCTGTTGTCAAATCTATTCTCTTGATCTCTTGATCTATTTGATCCACTTGATCTCTTGATCTTTTTCTTTTTTCTCTTTTTGACATAACTGACTCATTAATATTCTAACTGACATAACTTCAAACTCATTAATGTCCACTAACACAAACCTAAGGACATGACTCTTCACCAGAAAACTCTTCACATTTCTATTTTCTATTTTCTGTTTTATCTCATTAAAATTTAACCCAACAAAAATGGGGTTCTTCTGGTGAAGGAAAACCAACGAGGCAAGTGTTATTGTTAACAACAAGTTTCGTGTGAGAATGAGAAACTTTGGAGTAAATGCTAAAAATAGGGTGCTTTCGGTGAAAGAAAACCAAAACGTCAAAAAAATCACTAAGATGTACCATTGCAGAAAACCCAAATCTATGTCATGCTTGAAGGGGAGGTGGGTTATAGAAGTTAGTTTTGTGAAATCACCTCACACCCTCAATGATATTTGATGATCAACCAAATATGTAATCAGGAAACTTTAGTTTGACCTACCAAACACCTTGTTGATAACATTCATGAGAAATTAATTTTCCTAGCGTAGGAATGAAAAAAATTCTTCCCCTATCAAACAAATGCCCCCTAGATGTAAAAGAGTAGATTCATAGGAAAACATGCCCTTTTAAGTAATTTGAAATATAACATTAAACTTTTATCAGTTTAAAATTTGATATGAGATACAAGAATAAGCGTGCATTTAGCAATCATGTTAAAATGCTGATGGAGAAAATAAAAAATAAAAGATATTAAATATATGGGGAGGGGTATACTTACCATCAGGTAAGTTTATCACCTTTACAACCAATCTAATCATCGTTAGATTAGGATTAAATCTAACGGCTCATAATTATCCCTTATAATCCTAATTTTCTCTCTCACATTCCCTCTCTCTAGGTTTCCATCCTTTCTTCATCCTTATAGTGCTATGTCGAAATTCAAGATTTGTTCTCATTTGTTAACATGTTTCATGAATCCGTTTATGCTACCAGTGGGAGGGTATTTATGGTTGACCAATCTTTTTAATAAGATTCTCCAGACGAATAAGATGCCTGATGTATGGAGGAAAAGTATGATTGTGTCTATCTACAAAAACAAGGGAGATATACAGAATTGTTCAAACTATAGAGGCATTAAGCTAATGAGTCATACTATGAAGTTGTGGGAGAGGGTTATTGAACATCGCTTGAGGAGAGATACCAAGGTTTCTGTAAATCAATTTGGATTTATGCCAGGAAGATGTACCATGGAAGCAATTTTCTTGATGCGACAACTAATGGAAAGATACCGAGAAAAGAAAAAGGACTTGCATATGGTGTTCATAGACCTTGAGAAAGCATACGATAGGGTCCCAAGGAAAGTTTTACGGTGGGTCCTGGAGAAGAAAAAGGTTCCATTAAAGTATGTAAAGGCAATCAAGGATATGTATGATGGGGCTACTACATGTGTAAAAGCTTGTAACGGATCATCAAGTTATTTTCCTATCACGGTAGGTGTACTCCAAGGGTCGGCTCTAAGTCCTTACCTCTTTGCCTTAGTTATGGATGAACTAACAAAAGATATTCAAGAGGAAGTGCCATGGTGTATGCTTTTTGCAGACGATATTGTGCTTATTGATGAGAACAAGGAGGGTGTTAATAGAAAACTTGAATTGTGGAGAAGCACATTGGAATCCAGAGGATTCACATTAACTCGAAGCAAGACTGAGTATCTGAAGTGTGAGTTTTCTCTGGTACGAGATGAGGACCAAGAACCTGTGCATCTAAATGGTCAAGAGGTACCCAAAAAAGAGGCTTTTAAATGGGCTCCATTTTACAAAACGGTGGAGAGATTGATAAGGATGTAAATCACAGAATCAGAGCAGGGTGGATGAAATGGCGCAGTGCATCTGCATTTTTGTGTGACCGCAAAATCCCCCTAAAGTTAAAAGGAAAATTCTATAAAACGGCAGTAAGACCGGCAATGCTATATGGAGCAGAATGCTGGCCAGCACATAGGCAACATGAGCATAAGATGGGAGTAGCAGAGATGAGGATGTTAAGGTGGATGTGTGGTTACACAAGGATGGATAAGATAAGAAATGAAGATATTCGACGAAAGGTCGGAGTAGTACCGGTAGCCGAGAAGATGAGAGAACATAGATTGAGGTGGTTTGGGCACGTGATGAGAAGACCCATGGATGCTCCTGTAAGAACAGAAGTTTGTTACCAAGAGCTCAACACAAAAAGAGGCAGAGGTAGGCCGAAGCTTACTTGGGGGAAAGTAGTAAAACAAGATTTAATGGAGTGAGATATAGATTGGCGGACAGTATGTCTTAGAACGGAATGGAGAAAAGCTATAAGTATGGTGGAGGGTTAGACCCGCTGTTATTCCTATGTTCCAGATGGTCCCTTTTTAGTCCTTTTCCCCTTCATTTCCCCCACTTCTTCTTGTCCCTTTCTTTTTTACTTTTATTTATTTATATATACATATATTGTTATTTTATTTTATATTTTTATTTTATTTGTTTATTTTTATTTTTATTTTTTATTTTTATTTTTTATTTTTTATTTTTATTTTTATTTTTTTTATTTTTTTATATTTTTATTTTTATTTTTATTTTTTTTTATTTTTATTTTTTTTTAACTTTTTTTCAACCGTTTTGTATCTTTCATGTGGGTTCATCTACCACTGACCCCAATTAATTTGGGATAAATGTGTTGTTGATGTTGATGTTGATACAATTCATTATTCATCGCCCTGAACCTCATGCCAACAACGACCCTGACAACGGTTTTCCTTTCTTCGTCCATGTTGCCCGCAGAGGAAGAAGCTCATGGCTGTCAAGAAAATTTATCAATCAGTAAAATTATCAATCAGCCTAAAAAATATATTGTATTGTGAATAATGAATTGTATTAGAGAAAGAATTATCAATCGACATACATATATAACGGTTCAGGATGAATAATGAATAGTATTAGAGAGAAATGATTTTCAAATCTAGAGAGAGAAACAAAGAGGGGATGGAACCTAGAGAGAGACAGAGAGGGAATGTGAGAGAGAAAATTATGATTATAAGGGATAACTATAAGCCGTTAGATTTAATCCTAATCTAACGATGATTAGATTGGTTGTAAATGTGATAAACTTACCTGGTGGTAAGTATAACCTCCCCTAAATATATATTTATGAATTTGTAATAATGGTGTTCTGTTGGCTACTACATAGGCCCAACAGGTCAAACCCAATAATATAGCCCATTTTTAGAGCATTCTAAAAAGACGTCCTATACCCCTACACTGACAGCATGTCTTGTCTAGCGACAAGACTTGGCTCATAGGGAACAACTCTCCTCTCTATATATCCTTTTCCCTATTGAAGTAAGAAGATGATCTTCTCATTATTCATCTTATGAGCGGTTCTATTACTGCCATAGTCATAGACATCCCATCCCAATTTTACACACAACACCTGGAAAGCTCTCATAGAGCCATGGTTCCTCTCTTGGTTATTAAGATCACCCCTATATCAACATATTATATTCTCTGCGGGATACATTTATGAACTCTTAGCTATTCAAATGAGAAATCCAAAAATTATTTAATGCTTTATTCTTTATGTAATGAAATATATTAACCGATCCTTAAGAGCCTGTTTGGATCCTCTTATTTTTAAGCTAGAAGCTACTTATAAGCTAAAGCTAAAAAAAAGAGCTTAAAAAAAGAAGCTAAAAGCTGTTTGGAAATTACATAAAAATTTTAGCTTAAAAATTAGTTAAAAGCACATATTTCAAGAAAATTATTTCTCTCTCTATCTTTATCACTCTTCATTTAAAAAAAAAGCACACAATTCAAGAAAAACAGATAAGAGCTTAAAAAAAAGCTCCTCCTAGGAGCTTTTAATTTTCAACTTTTTTCTTCATTATAAAAAAAGAGCTTTTCGTTATAAGAGCTTTTTTCAAAATCTGTTTGGCCTAGCTTATGCTTATAAGTAGCTTCTAGCTTAAAAATAAGAGGATCCAAACAGGCACTTAATAACTTTAAGACACTTATTAACAAGATCCTCTTAAATTTTTTTTAAAGTCTATTAGATAAACTGTGGTTTCTTAATTAAACCGAGAAAAATTTCGTCGACATTGTAAAATCCTATTAGTTTAGTCAATTTTCATGGACAAATATTTGTTTCTCATTAGATTTTCTGAGTTATCACCATCTAACAAATATAAATATTAAATTAATTTTAGGATTTAACTATAAAATCCTAATTCTAAATTATACAATCCATAAAACACAATTATGTAATACAATCTACAGAAAAAGAAATATAATTTACTGACTTCTTGCTTATATTAGTTTTGAGTTTGTTTTGTATATTATTTTATGGAAAAACTGTAGGAAATCTTAGATTTATGCGGAAGCGGTTTAGGACCTAGTACATTGGTATGCTTACCGAATCATCCTTGTTTCACAATTACCTCTCGGTGCGCAGGTCTCGTGTAGAATCTTCCCTTGTAGGATTCCTCTTCACGAACAGCTCACCTCAGCGCCGCAGCACGAACAACCTCCTTGAAGCTGGACTGTGACAGATCTTCCAAACTATCTCTCGAGGAGGAAGGGGAAGTGTGTGGGCACTCGTTCAGATGATGAACGTCTGCCTCTTTGGTTTGTTTCTGATGATCTGTTCACCTTGGAGGCACAAGAGGAGAAAACTATGAATATATACGCTTAGGTCTTAGACATAACTCAACCCTAAGCCTCATGGGCTCAAGTTTCACTGAAGCCCAATAGGACTTTAGTGACCAAAAGAGCATATATCCAACAAAAACGAATAAGAATGAGAGGTGTTAAGCTTTTTTTTTATCATCCTGGCGCCAAACTATTTTTCCACAGGACCTTCCCTAGAGTATCGTCACCGCAGTAGAGTTTAACTACCAAGTACGGGATAGATTGGTGTGGTTCCTCTACGCCTAAGACACCAGAATATCGAACCATGAGTGAATAAAGGCATAAGTAAATTCACCATAAGTTTTGATTAGATTGATAGTCTTTTTAATCTTGCAACGAGTATATTTATCTAAACTTTTCAGGAAAAAAAACAACATTTTATTTCCATCTAAATTTATCTTAAAAAAACATATCCATTGTTATGTTTGACACTTTATCGAAAAAAATCTTCCCTCGTCATGATAAATCGGAGCAGAACATGCACACAAAATTTTAAAGAAAGAAAAAAAAGTTATACTTATTATCTATTTTTGTTCATAATTATATTTTAATCGTTAAATTTTGTTAATAAACGGTATTATTTATTATAAATTAATAATTAATTAATAAATTTAATTTTTAAAAATAATAATTATTAATTGATGAAAATTAATAATTAAAATATAATTATAAGAGATTATAAATAAAAATAGATCTAAATATAACCTTCATTTACAAGAAATTCGAACAAAAAAAATATTGTGCACAAGTACAAGGTGACTGTCGAAACTTCCAATTTCAGTATTGATATGGAACAAACATATACTTTTTTTTGCAAGTCATTGCAAAAAGTCTTACAACTTACGCATAATTTTTTTAGGATTCTATAAAGAAATATTACTCTGACCATCTTATAAATTTCTGTTAAAATTCAGGATATAAATTATAATTTATTTAGCTATCAAAGGCTATGACCATTTTATTTGATTCCAAATTGAAAAATAAATAAATATTAACTCCCAATTGTCGTAAACAATATTTTAGTGAAACTATTTTTATACATAATCTGACTTATTTATAAAAGAGGAAAGATATTGTAAGAACCAATTAGTGTTACTATCAATCAAATTCATCGTTAGATTGATTATTTGATCCAACGGTTATATTCATTTCTATCTTTGTGTGGTTATTATTCCTCATATTTAATATTTTATATTTATTTCTACCTTTGTATGGTTATGAAGCATTAAATATGGAGAATCATAACCATACAAAGATAGAAATAAATATAACCGTTGAATCAAAATAACCGATCTAACGGTGAGATTGAGTGATAGTAACATTGGTAGTAACACTAATTGGTTGTTACAATATCCTATTCCTTTATAAAATTCATTTTATTTTTTATAATTTTAAAATAAAATATTAACAAATCAAAAAAATTATGTTCATAACATGCTACACATGTATATCATACTAACTAAATTATAGTCCAAACATATGAATCCTATTTTATTTCCATATGAATAAGCAAGAAATGAAATGAAATGATGATTGTTTGAGTATTATTTACAAGTACAACCATAAAAGACGTTAATAAATAAATATATATCTATTTTGTATACGTTGGAACTCGGAATAGAAGGTATGAATTTGTGTGTTATCGGCGCTGTGCCTCCTTCAAATCCTTTACAGCGAAGCCAACAGCCGCCATTATTAGGTGCCAGTTCAGCATTCCGATCTGCAATTATTCGCTTCATTCTCATTCTCATCCAACAACTTCACAGATCTACTTCCGTTTCGATTCATCATTCTTCGATTGTGGTTAGGGTTCACAACACAAAATGGGGGAACTGGTTCCAATCTACTTGTACATCATCGCTTTCTTTTGCACAAGTGGAGCTGTTACCTTAGCGTTGCTACACATTTATAAGCACCTTCAAAATTATACCGAGCCCACTTACCAGCGGTTCATTGTTCGGATCGTTTTTATGGTGCCGGTGAGTGATTTAATTAGAATGAATCCGCCTTTTTCTGATTCGATTTAATCAGTTTGATTAATTTATTTTTTTCTGACAGGTTTATGCGTTAATGTCATTCTTGTCCCTTGTTCTACCTGGGAGTTCAATCTATTTTAACTCCATCCGGGAAGTGTAAGTTGTTCTCTGTTTCTGTATTCATTTGTGTTTCATGGTTCACACTTTGGTTTGTGTGATTTGGGTGATTATTTTGTATCCAGTTATTGCTTAATTGTATGAGTATAAGAACTATATTCAATTGTTCTGCCTAAGTCTTGATTTAGTGAGCAGCCAGAAATAGTTATAGTTGTTTTGTGGTAGAAATTTCTGGTTTGATATCCTACTCCGGATTCCAAGGATAAAGTATATGTCTTGTCCTTTTACAAGATTTATTTAGCTTTTGAGTATGTCTGAAGATATGTAATTAGGTTTTGTAGTTTTTCACTTTGTTAGCCGGTAGCCATCAATGCTTAAGAATAGTGTATTCTTCTTATCTTCTGTTGATTATGTCACTGAGGCGGCGAAGGAGAGTGCTGCAGCGGCAACAATGCTTACATATGCAGTCATAAGGATGGAATGGCACTTCCTTTCCCCCCCTTTATTAGTGTGATTTGGTTCTCTTTTACATTCTTTAGTTCCTTTGAAAACTTAGTTCACTAATCTCCCTTGTTTGTTTTAAAAATATAAATGCATTTATTAAATAGGAGCAGTGTATTTATTGCATTCTCTTGTCTGCTTTTTCAGTTATGAAGCTTGGGTCATTTATAATTTCCTATCATTATGTCTCGCATGGGTTGGTGGTCCTGGAGCAGTGGTCATAAGTTTAAGTGGTCGTGTTCTGAAGCCATCATGGTTTCTGATGACTTGTTGCTTGCCTCCTATACCACTGGATGGGTGAGTTTTGATAAATCTGATGCATATTTTGGATTAAAAGCCTTTGTGCCTGAAAATATTTTATATTCCTTGAAAACAGATCCCTAGAATTTTCCATTGAGTTTTTAATGAATAACCTAACTTCTGTTAGTTGTTATGATTAGGTTAGTAGTGCAATATGAAAACTTCTTTTTATAGATTACTGCAAAATGTAAATCTTGGGATCTCAGAGATCCAAGAATTCTGATACAAACCTGTAACAGAGTAGCATTATCATTATATGATAGTTGGTGATCATCTCTCACTTCTGAACTTTTACTGCAGGCGCTTTATACGTAAATGCAAGCAAGGGTGTTTGCAGTTTGTGATTTTGAAGCCCATTTTAGTTGCTGTTACACTTATACTTTATGCAAAGGGGAAATATAAGGATGGCAATTTCAGTCCAAAGCAATCTTACTTGTACCTTACAATCATATATACATTCTCATACACAATGGCTCTCTATGCTCTAGCTTTGTTTTATTTGGCATGCAAGGATCTGCTTTATCCATTCAATCCAGTCCCAAAGTTTATCATAATAAAATCTGTTGTATTCCTGACTTATTGGCAGGTAATTTTCATACCTCTTTCTTCCCTTGTATTATCAACTGTATTCATTGCCCATTGTATGGTAACGTAGGAAGAACATAAAATGACAATTTTAATATTTTTGTGACTAAAAGAAAGGATGTTAATGTTATGTAAGAAGAATACTGTTGTGAATTAGGGCGACTTATTTTATCTTAAGATGGTTTATCAATAATTTGTCAGGAGCAAAATTTTTTGACTTCCCCCTCCAACTAAAAAGGAGAATAAACATTTTGCACCTTCAATTCTAAAATAGACTAATCTTTCCGTATGGAAGAGGTGCTGTATATATTCTGTAATCATTGTTTTGTGATTGTGAAAATTCAGGGAGCTAACATTTTATATTAATACCTCTGGTAATATATATGCCAGAAGTTGGATTTGGTGTCTTTGTTTTCTTCTTTGGGACTAGCGTAGTATAAATTTTATTTTTATTGTAAAAGTTATCACTTATCAGTTTCCTACAAATTTGAACTTTCCTTCTCCTGTCTCTAATTTTCGTAGGTTTATTCTTTTCCCAGTTTTGCGCATAACACAATTTTTTTTTTGCAAAATCTATAACTACATACTTTAGATTTGGTTATAATAATAATGAAATAAAAAACACAATCACACCCATTTATGGGTGGCAGTGTGTGTCAATAATATTTTAGTTTGCTATTACCCTTTTTTTTTTTGGTTTGGGAGGGGGGGGGGGGGGTTAGCTTTATCTTTTATTACACTTATTTTTGTTGAATACACAAAGGTTGGTGTATGGGATCTAATTTAGAGTTTGAAGATGTCTCGCTGTTAATTTGATGTTGTTTGGTACATTTACTGTGTTTCTGTTAGAGATTTGAAGCTGGGTGACTTTTTGTTTTTGATATCTTAGGGTGTCTTAGTCTTCCTTGCTGCAAAGTCGGAATTCGTTAAGGATGCAGATGAAGCTGCTCTACTTCAAAATTTTATCATCTGTGTTGAGATGCTTATTGCTGCTGTGGGCCACTTTTATGCATTCCCATACAAAGACTATGCCGGTGCTAACATAGGTGGATCCCGTGGTTTGACAGCTAGCCTTGCTCATGCTTTGAAGTTAAATGACTTTTACCACGATACAGTCCATCAGGTGAGTCTCACTTTTCATATTCTGCCCATATTTTTATGTTGCTAACGTATTTCTGTGTATCAGGATTAATGCCTAGATTTGCAACCATTATGTTGCAATTCTAGTTCCACCTGATCTTCACTATAGTTCTGGCTATCCTTTTGCTTGTTTGATCTCTACTGATAGTCTGATATTACTTAAACTTCTTGCAGTTTGCACCAACATATCATGATTATGTTCTCTACAACCACAGTGAAAATGAAGAGGGAACAAGGAAGTATAGGTCACGAACTTTTGTTCCAATTGGCCCAGAGATGGATACTGTGAGAAGAAATAAGCATATGTTAGGAACCAAGATAGATGACATACAGCTCTCAGGTTTCTCTTCTTCTAATAGTAGCACTCCCTCAAATTCTGATCCCATCTCCGATGCTTCGCATTCTGGTGCAATGAAATCTTCCTTACTTGTGGATGTGTCAAATTCTGTATCTGTGCCATACGATTTGACGCTTATTGATTTGGATGCATCCAATTACCCTGAAAAAGTTCCTGCAGCTGATAAAGCTGGTACTAGGTGACCTTGAACAACGTTCAGAGCTAAGTTAGTGGGAAAATTGTCATTGCCGAAGAGAGAAGAGGAGACTAAGAGGGGCATCCATCGTCTTTTCTATTCTAGGAGAGAATTAAGAGCCAAGTGTGGTTTGTTTGATTCCAGGAAAGAATTTAAGCAGATCTGGCGCAATGTTTGTGTTGATGTAGCTTAAAGGCCGCCGTAATCGATCCCCAGCAAACCGATCCTCGATTGTCCTCAGTTTTCGTACTGTATTTGTCTCCATTGAGTGTGTACAGTGTGCACATTATAGATACAAAACTCGATGGCATACTTCAAACATGACATACCGAGTGAATATGAATTAGAACTAAACTAATTGATTGATTCTTTTCTCCTTTGCAACTTGAACATAACGATTACCGTTAGGTTTCATAGAATGTCATTACCATCATTTTTTTTTTTGCATGTATTTGTATTGATATTTGCTCCAAAGTTTAAGTTTGTGCTTCTGGAATGTCTCCTAGTGCTTCGTGATCCACATATCTACTGTCTTGTTGCTGCTAGCAACTTCTGTATCACGTGATCCAATCTTTATTTTTATAAGGTGGACCAAGTTTTAGTTACTTCGTGTCAAAGGCCTCGAGAAACTGAAACCGTATACTACCCATTTTTCATAATTTCATATCATTCAAGTTGAATTTATAAAGATGCAAAAATAGTTGCCAACTCATTCGCCTTCTTTATCTTAATCACTAAAATGTAGTGTCAGTCTGTACACTAAAAAAAAGGTATTATCAGTCTGTACTTTGTACCTGTTTGATAATTGTTTAACAATGAACATTACCATTTTCCCAAAAAATTATTAAAACTCGTGCTTGCATTTCCATCGTGATCACTGATCGAATGTTCTAATTTCAAGCATGGTTCATGACTCACTAGTTACTTCGTCAAAGCATGGCTCATCCTCATGTGTATTTCTTAGTACGTAGCGATAGTCGTCTTCATTATGATCCCAATCGTTTTATTTTGTTGCCATTTAGTGAATTTCTTTAGGCACGTCTGCTGTTGTCACCAATGCACGGCTTGGTTCATGTTTTGGTTTGGACCACGACAAACATTACCTAAGCTTTTGCCCCACAGGTTTGATAAACGATGGTCCTCACTCCTCATTGGACAAAGCGCTGATGGGGACGGCTCTTATTGGAAATTTGGAAGTTTGTTTTGACTTATATGGCATCATAAGGATAACGAAGGAGGTTGTTACAGGGGTTTGTCTTTGCTTTTATAGCTACATAAGCAACGACCATAACCATAGTTTGAACACAAAAAAAAAGATTGGAAGTGTAAAGAAAAGATAAAAAAAAAAGGGTCAAACATGTAAGGGAGAACACAAAAGGCACGTGACCGTCCATCTAAAAGAACCCGAGCTTATCCGAGTGTCCACGTGTTAAAGTGCTTAATGTATAAGATAGAAGAGGGAAGAAAAAACAAACATGTGTTTGTGTTTAGTGGTGGCGCGACGCTAGCTAAGCAAAATCAGGGGCGTTGAATTTCTGCTGTTAAGATTTCAGACCCCTTTTTCTTCTTCTCCTTCACACATATTTGTCTTTATCTTTGACCAATTCATTTTTTCTTCTATTTAATATTTCTTTTCTGTTTCTGTTTTCCCTCTATTCTTCTTCCTCAGGCACCCACCTCGCATTCCACGTTTCTCTTTGGTTCAAAACCTTAGTGAGAATCAAGACATGGGTAGTGTGACCGTGAACCCATTGTTGAGAAGTGAATCTTTTGGGTATTACTACCACCCTGACCAGAACTATACCATGATGGAGAAGAGGCAGCTATTCCTGAGAAGCTACCAGTTCTGTCGAAAGAAGAGTCTCACTGAGAGAATCAAAGGGTCTTTCGTCCGTGCCAAGAAAGTTGTATGGCTAAGGCTAAGGTGTGGTTGTAGACTAAGAAGGTTGATTTTTTCCAGGTCCAAATGGAAATGGAGCTTCTATTACCGCAGGAGAAGGTTTTCCCAGCTTTTAAAATGCCACAACCGCAAAAGCGAATCTTCCTCATGTTTCTGGTAAATAAAAAAGAACACTAGTCATGAGCCTGAGACACTTTCTTAATAAGAGTTTGTGATGACAATTTGGAACTAGTTTAGATATATTGTTCATTAATCTCACAAAGTGTTGCTTTGCCTTTGTTTCTTTTTCCTTTACTTTATCTTGTTTAATCGTTTTGCTCATAGATAAGTCATATCTTTAACAGCTCCTTGCTCTTGTCTTTTCCCTAATGGCATTAGCAGAAATAGAAATATAGATTCAATTCAGAAATTTGGTCCTAGTTGTTGGCATGTTGCGCTAATGAAGTCTGAATCTTTGAATATATCATATTTGACATTTCCTTGTAAGTCTGAAATTTGGTCCTAGTTGTTGGCATGTTTCTTTGAGAAGCCTAGTTAACAGGGCAGGAACAGTAAAAAAAACAAAAAACAAAAAAAAATGGTCAATTCAGAAGCAGGATTTCATGCGTATTATTACAGTTAGAACTGAGAACTTTTAATCCCAAGATAATACACACACATACACTTATTATGGGCTAAGGGTTTGTGGTGGGGGACCCTTTTTTTTTTTTTTTTGATAACAAGGTGGGGGACCCTTAGTTAAAGAGAAAAGTGGGAATGGGAACGTGATTGCAACTGGCAAGTCCAAAGTTTGAGTTCTCAAGGATGGGACGACGCACAAAAAAGTCAAGCATTTCGAAGTTCCAGGTTTGAATAGTTGAATGGTGAGTCATGGGGGGAACAAAGGCTGTTTTGTATTTCCCACTTTCCAAGCTGTGTGGCATGCATTTGCCATTAAAATGGTCGGAAGCACTATAATATACCCTTTCTCCTCATTTTCTACTAATTGCCATTATTATAAATAGTAGGAGTATCATCATTTCTACTTTCCAGTTTCCAATTTAATGTGTTTCTGAACCATTCCTGATTCCTCACCTATCTGTAATATAAAATTTGGTAGGGAAAATGTAATTGATAGGAAAAAAGTTAGAAAGTGAGTTTGGTAGAAAAATGTAAAAAAAGTTGTTTGTTTGGAAAAAATTTTACTGGAAAAATTTGGTAAATATTATAAAGTCTATGTTTGGTTTGAGTTAAAATATTGATGGGAAAATGAGTTGCAATTATCAAAATACCCCTTATTTTTAAATTTTTTGAATCTCATCCTGCGGTGTCTATGTTTGATTGTGTGAAGAGTACTCCAATTCAGTGTCATAAATCTATCAGAAATTGCCACATCATTTTAGATTATTCAAACCTCTAGAAATTGTCTCTGTGTTCATCGCACTCTGCTTCCAATTATGGTGAAGGATGAAGTAGCTTTATAAGAGGGTAATTTTGATAGATATGGTGCCAATTTTTTTTTTATTTACCTAGCTTTTGTGAAATATCACCTTGGAAGTGGGATTTGAGTACCATACATTTTATCAAATTTTGCAAACAATTATCAATGGCTAGGCAAATCACTTAGCTAGGAAAAATTTGTAATACCATGTACCAAACATGAACAATCCCAAATACCAATCTCATATGCCTAGGTAAATTTCAAAAAAGCTGCTACCAAACACAACCCAAGGCTTTTCCACATAAACTAGCTGACATTGAAAATTTTCATCTGCCTGATATATATGGCATAGTAAGAAAGAAAGTGCTACACTTCTTCACAGGGTAGGTAGATATTCTATATGAAAAATGCTACATTCTTTCATTACTTTTTCATTTTTTAAAATAAATATTAAATAAAAAAAAACATTCAATATGTCAAGAATTATAAAAGATTTAATTTTCTTTAATTAATTAAGATTATTTAATTGATTCAATAGAAAATTTCATAAATTTTTTATACATACCAATTAAAAATGTCGCTAATTATATGTTTTCAGTGTTAATTAAGTTTTTGATTTAGTTTTTATTTCTCGAATTTACCTTATGTTGCTTTTATGACACTTTTATTTAAATTATTTTGTTAAATAGTAACGTATCAAACAATTATTAATGTGGTAGTATAATGACAACATTTGGTATAATTGATAAATTCACGTGTTAAAGAAATATCAACATCAACATCAACAACACCTTTATCCCAAATTAATTGGGGTCAGTGGTAGATGAACCCACATAAAAGATACAAAAACGGTTGAAAAAAAGTAAAAAAGCCAAAAATATATAAATAAATAAATAAAAATAAACAAATAAAATAAAAAAATAAAAAAAAATAAAATAAAATAAAAATAAAATAAAATAAAAATATATGTATATATAAATAAATAAAAGTAAAAAAGAAAGGGACAAGAAGAAGTGGGGAAAATGAAAGGGAAAAGGACTAAAAAGGGACCATCTGGAACATAGGAATAACAGCGGGTCTAACCCTCCACCATACTTATAGCTTTTCTCCATTCCGTTCTAAGACATACTGTCCGCCAATCTATATCTCACTCCATTAAATCTTGTTTTACTACTTTCCCCCAAGTAAGCTTCGGTCTACCTCTGCCTCTTTTTGTGTTTAGCTCTTGGTAACAAACTTCTGTTCTTACAGGAGTATCCATGGATCTTCTCATCACGTGCCCAAACCACCTCAATCTATGTTCTCTCATCTCTCATATGTGTTAAAGAAATATAAACTAAAATAAATACAGACTAATATTAAAGAACTAAAAGCTTAAACTTTTTTTTTTGTTAGAATATGTTATGAAAGATGAAATTGGCTTCTCAAAGTTGAAGCTATTTTTGTCAAAAATAAAATAAAATAAAATAAAAATCGTATGATAACTCAGATCATCAGTGGGTAGCTATGTTTTGTGATTAAACTATATTTATTTACCCTTTGGGCTTTGGCTTGAATTATTTAGTTGTATAACTTGCTCCTTCGGAAAACCAGATGTCTATATTTCTAGTGGTCGAATTGAATCCAAGCTACGTCAATCTAATTGATAAATTATTCAATCTATTTTTGGCTGACAAATTGGAAGCACCACTTTTGAAAAGCATCGTCCATTCTCAATCTTGGCAGATCCATCTATGACATAAACATACATAGGAGCTCATAAAGTATTAAATATACTAATATTTTAATGAATAGACACAGCTAATGAATAATGACCTTAGCACTAAAAAGTTGACAATAGCAGCAAGTAAATGGAAAACATTAAATGTGAATCGTGCATATTTCTTCTTTAACGGATAAAAAACGTGCTTCTATTAGAAGAAAATGAACGCTTGTGAAGAAATTTGCTTAATGGGAAAGAAACATGCAGACCAACTAGACGTGAGTTGTTGTAACAATTTAAAACCTATTTAAACCAACGCTTACATGCCAAGCAAATGGAACATGTAGTTTATTTTACCACAAACCTTCTAGTTGATAATGAAAACCATTTAATAAGTAGCCACTA